CCAGTTGAGCGCGGATGCAAAACAAACTCTGTGAATGGCCAACGAGCTCTGCGAATGAAGTCTACCAAAGAGTTATCCTAAAATCCACCATCACAAAGCTTAAGCAGAATTTGAACAAAACGAATATCGAATATCGGGCGCACAACTGCAATACTAATCAAACTTTTCACCAAGTGCAACCATAGCACAATGCCCTTTTTGTCACTGAATGCGAATGCGAAAATCAATATGGGAAATGAACCCAACTTACCAAAGAAATCCTATAGGTGTCGAGTTCGAACTTAAAATCCGGAATCCTTCCAGTTCCCGGAGGCGAGGAAATCCCAGCCTTTCTCCAATTTAAGTTCCAATCGTTAGACGGGATCCATCTGCAGGAACTGGAAGGATTCCGGATTCTAAGTTCGAACTCGACACCTATAGGATTTCTTCCATCGTTAGACGGGAGCCATCTGCAGGGATGGGAAAACAAAAATAAAACAAAAAAAACAAAAAATGCCATTGCTGTTCACCTTGGAGCTAGGGTGATTTTCTAGCCTACTAGACACCCCAATGGCATCAATCTATGAATATTGCTTCGATTACGTTGAAATTGGGTTGAATCATTTGAACGTCGATATAAAGATCAGACTGTTTGCACTGTCAGTCTGTCACTGCAGTAGAACATATGAAGATGAGCTTGCTGGTTTCTTGCTTGTGCGGCGTGTTCCCCATGTTCCCAACACATGTGTGTCCACCTCTCGAAGACTTTCACCATTACTCAGAGGTGAAGCTTGGCAGCACATGGACTAAACGGATAAGGAGGGCAACTTAATATGTTACTTCTTGCCAGTGATGGGATTCACTTCCTCACAGATGTAAACCACGACAAGCGGTGGATGCACATTGCAAAACACTAAGGAACCTTAGAGGAAACTAAACAATGTGGAAGTAAACTTTCACACATTCGCTGACCAACGTTGCAAGTGTGCTACATCCAATTTTATTCTCTCTCTCTCTCTCTCTCTCTCTCTCTCTCTCTCTCTCTCTCTCTCTCTCTCTCTCTCTGTGCTGACCAATGTTGCAAGTGTGCTACATCCAATCTTTCTCTCTCTCTCTCTCTCTCTCTCTCTCTCTCTGGTTGTGTGTGTGTGTGTGTGTGTGGTTGTCTGTGACTTCTTCTCCATAGTTGATCAGGTTCTAGTTCACCACTCTTAAGCTCCTGATGTCCTTCAGCGAATGAAGGCAACGAACGAACTAGACGGGACAGCTGATGAGCTGTTGTAGATAGAGCGTTGCAGTTCAAAGCCCATCTGCACTGCTTGTGAACATGACATCCTTGCTCTCTCACTATGATTAAAAACTGAAAGAAAAACACCTCAGTGTCAAACCCCACAGAAAGAACTCTTGACCTTTACGCAGTGCACTCAAGGACTTGCAAAACATCCCTCATCGCACTGCAGGAGGCATGGCGGTCAATCCATCCCGCAGAGAAGAGGTTCACGCACTCCCCCTCCACCCTCCCCTTTCATTCCCCCCCCATCTAGATGTGTATAAGAGACAGGGCTTATCCCACTTGTTGTACCATGAACCTCTTC